ACTCTCCCTCACAAACACATGCGCACCACGCTGCCATGCGCTGAGCACTCCTGCTCTCCCCTCCCCACTTGGAGTCTCAGAAACAGCCCTCCCCTTGGCTGAGAGGCCAGGTGAGAGGCTGGCAAATCACAGTGAAGGAGGGCTTTTTGTGGGGACTGGATGATTTACCATCTGTTTCAAAAAAAAAGGAAGAGGACAGGCTGAGAGATCTTAAGCCTTCTCTGCCAAAGGGGTTCCCAAGATCATCAGAAATATATGTTTTCTGATGGTCTTTGGTGACCCCTCTGAAACCCCCTCGAGACCCCCCAGAGGTCCCAACTCTCAGCTTGAGAAACGCTGATCTAGAGGGCTACAAGTTACCCATCATTGCTTTACACGGTTGCTACTGTAATAATTATAGTTAGTTGAGCAAATGCAGGTGAAGTGTTATGAAGATTTGACAACATTATGCAAATGTGAAGTATTGTTACTTCATTTTAAAGGCTGCTTCATTATTGTACAGAAACAGCTCTTCTCGTTTTATGAAGAGGGAGGGAAGCACCTGTGCATAAAGCATAATTGCCCAATCTAGAAGCTCGCCTATTAAATCTCCTGAATTTTCCTTTTATTAATATGAATGCAGCCTCAGCAGTATGGGATTTGGCTGATTATTTCTTCCTACAAAGGAACGGGGCTCTACAAAAGAGCAGGTGAAACGCAATAGGCAAACGCCATTTAGGTTCAATTATAATGCAATGAATAATGCATTCCCAGGGTGTTTCAAATATCTTTGTCAGGAGAATTGCCCAGATTGACAACATATAATCACCTCCACCACTCTTGCATTAATCACCAGCCATGAAATCTTTAAGAAACATACTGTACCTTTGTTATTACAAAATATTCTTGTGACAAATACACTACATACATACATACATATACTTGTTTATGTTCCAAACATGTAAGCCTATAGGCTATCTGCCTATGAAGGTCTTTATCTTAAAAGCATATTAATGGTTCTCAGTATAAAGTCTCAGTATGAGATCCTATTTGATTTGCATGGAGGTCCAGGAAGTTTGTGGGGGTGGCAGTGACAGCTGACAACTAGTTAGTGGTGGATGCTTTCACTATCCATTTGGGTCAACAGATGGAGCTGCCCTTGGATATAGTCCAGCTGCCATTATGCATCTTGCAGAGAATGGTAGTGCAGAGAGGTACCGAATACCTCCTTCTGCAAACTTGGAAAAGTTAAGTTACAGTAGCATAGTGTAGTGATTTCAGCGCTAGAATAATGCTGGATCTACATTGCCATATAATTCAGTTTGTGAAGCCAGATCATCTGCTTTGCATTAGATTATATGAGTCTATACTACCATATAATCCAGTTCAAAGCAGATAATGGATTCAAAAACTGAACTATATGGCAGTGTAGATGGGAACTAAGGGCCCTTCCACGCAGTCATATAACTCAGAATATCAAGGCAGAAAATCCTACATGTGCTTTGAACTGGGCCCCCTTCCACACAGCTGAATAAAATCCCACATTTTCTGCTTTGAACAGGAATATGTAATAGTGTGGACTCAGAAAACCCATTTCAAAGCAGATACTGTGGGATTTTCTGCCTTGATATTTTGGGTTATATGGGTGTGTGGAAGGGCCCTCAGTTATCTGAGTCCACACTGCCATATATTCCAGTTCAAAGCAGATAATGTGGGATTTTATTAGCAATGTGGAAGGGACCTAAGACTCTGGAGATCATGAGGAGACATGGTAAGCCATCTATAAATATGTGAGAGGAAATCATAGGGAGGAGGGAGCAGGCTTGTTTTCTGCTGCCCTGGAGACTAGGACACAATGAAAAAATAGCTTCAAACTACAGGAAAGGAGATTCCACCTGAACACGAGGAAGAACTTCCTGACTGTGGGAGGTGTTCAGCAGTGGAACTCTCTGCCCCGGAGTGTGGTGGAGGCTTCTTTCTTTGGAGGACTTTAAACAGAGGCTAGAGGGCCATCTGTCAGGGGTGCTTTGAATGTGATTTTCCTGCTTCTTGGCAGGGGGTTGGACTGCATGGCCCACGAGGTCTTTTCCAACTCTATGATTCTATGATCTTATGACTGGGTCTATGTTGCTCTCTGTCACTGCAACATATGGCCACAGAGCCATATGTTGACCGTCATTGGGCACTTTTGCTAAGCTCAAGGAGAAGGAGGATCAGCAGTGGTGACAAGACACAGGGCCAAAGTCTAACTGGACTGTCTGGCCTCTACCTCACCACCTTTGAAAGAAAGATACGAAGTGTGTGGCAACTGACGGGGCTAGATCAAAGTATTACTACTCTGGACTGGCCCTGGATTTCATGGTGCATGTAGATGTGGCTCTCAGAGGAGGAAATTTCCACAGTTACCCTTGTCTTAAGCTGCCTCCCCCATCAGAAGGCGTAGTATTGAAATACATTGAGCATTTTTGTGTATTCCACCTCTTCATATATCATATCCTCCAACTGGTTTGATGGAGGCCCCAGGGGTGCAATGGGTTAAACCCTTCTGCCAGTAGACTGAAGATCAACAGGTTGCAGGTTTGTATCCGGGGATAGCGCAGATGAGCTCCCTCTGTCAGCTTCAGCTCCCCATGCAGAGACATGTGAGAAGCCTCCCACAAGGATGGTAAAACATCAAAACATCCAGGTGTGCCCTGGGAAATGTACTTGCAGATGGCCAATTCTCTCACACCGGAAGCAACTTGCAGTTTCTCAAGTTGCTCCTGACACACACACACACACACACACACACACACAAAAGCTGGTCTCATTTGGCAGATATTCCACTTTTCCAGCCGTTTGTAAATTGGCCCAGTTTTACTTTCCTCCTTTGCCCTTAGGTTACTTCATTACAATGGATGGAAATGGTTTTAAGATTAAGAGGATAGTTAAATCTATAGGCATTATCATGGCAAATATGAAATGGATGCTATTTCAGAGTAATTACACTAAGACATGGAGTGAAATTAAGAAGGATCTATTGCAGTGGGATAAATTGAAGTTATTTCTCCTCCAAAGGCCACTCTTTCTCCAGAAGGTGGCAGCACAGTTCAAAAATTCCCCTGTCATCGCCCCTCCTTCCTTTGCAGATCTTAGATGGGCTTGCAAAGCGAGCTTAGCGTTATTAAATGTTATTGTTACTTTTAGGTGTTTTCTGTTCTGGATCAACTAATCCAGGTTGGTTTCCTCATTCTTTTGATGATATGCACAGGGTGCCTCTACTTGCAAGAGCCATTTGTTGCAAACCATATAGTGAGAACCTGGGTGGATTTGAAGATTACTGCCAGTGCTTTGGGTGCAACTCACATCCTTCATGTACCTGAGCCCTGGATTCACTGGACTTAGCAGATGTCCCCAAATCCTTCAGCCAGCTGGGTCTGTGCTTCTATTTCCCTGCAACCTATACCAAATGATATCCTTCCTTACTTCCCCTGTGTTCATTTTCTTTGATTGTATTCCTGGATGGGGTGGCATCCATTTATATAGATCTTTTGAAGTCATTTGGTTCAAAAACACCCTGTAAGGCCTCGTCTACACTGCCATACACCATTCAGATTATCAGTTTTGAATGGGATTATATTTATTGATTTATTTATTTACAATATTTCTATCTCGCCTTTCTTAAAATCGAAGGTGACTCAAGGCGGCCTACAACCAGGCAGCCATTCAATGCCTTAACAATATACACTTAAAAACATTTAAAACAAAATTAAAAACCATACAAAGAGCTTTGAGTATATGGCAGTGTAAACTCATATAATCCAGTTCAAAGCAGATACTTCGGATAATCTGCTTTGATAATCTGGATTATATGGCAGTGCAGAAGAGGCTTCCAGACAGGCCCAAATGTGGGACTTGTCTCACTTTTACCTGAGGCATCCAAATGATGCTTTAGGTAAACGCAAATAAATCCAGAGAAAACCGGGATTTCCCAGTTTGGATTGCTGTGAGATTTCTGGGCTGTATGGCCATATGCCAGAAGCTTCTGGAACATGGCCATACAGCCCAGAAAATTCACAGCAACTCAGTGATTCCAGCCATCAAAGCCCTCGACAACACGTTTCCCAGTTTGCTCTGGTCTGGGTCTTTCCAGGTGAGGGCTTCACAGTCCAGGAGTCAATCCCCACAGCCATCTCGGTTCTTTGGGAATGCCCACCCCCAGCCCCTCATCCCCCCCCCCAAAAAAAAATTACCCAAGGAGCCTGCTGGCATTGCAGCCCCCTCTGAAGAGTCCTCTTGACACACAAAAATGACATGACCCAAGCACAAATCTAAAAGTGGAGGGAAAAACGACTTTAAAAAATTCGCAAAGACTTGAACAGTCATATTCTGAATCCTTAGGTTTGTCCACATTCAAAGAGGACACATCATCTCCCCAGACACTCTTCCAAGGGCCCTTCCACACAGCCCTATAGCACAGAATATTGAGGCAGAAAATCCCACAATATCTGCTTTGAACTGGGATATCTGAGTCCACACTCAGATAGTGTCGGATTTTCTGCCTTAATATTCTGGGATATAGGGCTATGTGGAAGGACTTCCAGTGTCCAAGGCTAGAAAAAAAATAGCCATTGGCTACAGTGCCTAAAATCCCCAGCTACTATGGCCAGTGAGTGTACTAGCGGATTCTTGAAACTGTAGTACCCCCAAATTGTTTTTCAAGACTGTGCTCCTAACATGATTAGTGAAGGAATGATGGACAGAGGGCTGCCCCCTGCCCTTAGCCCCACCCCCCACTGCCCACCACTTATATGGAAAGCACCATCCGCCCAAGTCTATCTTTACTAGAGAAGCTAAGTCACTCCAGTCATACGCTCTTCTCTTCTCAGCTTGGTTCAAGGAATGTGACACATCAGACAGCAGCTGGTACTTGAGAGGAGGAGGAGGAGGAGAGGGGAAGACTGCGCAGAGGGTGGGGCTCATTTGTCCTGAGGTCCCTCAAAAGCATGGTTGTGAGGGGGGAGTCTGTGGTTTGAAGATCTATTAAGAATTAGTAAAAATTTCTGGAGCTACAGGTTTGGGAAGCAGGTGGTGAGAGGCAAACTGAGAAGGCTGAACTCTCTGCAAAGTGTCTGACTCCCTGCCTTGATGTGTTGGGATGGGCTGGCTGCAACCTGAGACCAGCCTAAAAATAGTCTCCTGCCTGGCAGAGGAATGACCTTCTGGGACTTTGTCCGGCTTGGGTGGGCAGGCACCTGGAGCCACGTCAATGCCCCCTGGCAGGTACCCAGCAGCCAGGGGGTCATGCGCACACACGCACACACAGAGGGTGAACATCAAGCAAGGGGAACGGCTGCTGGGGGGCTTGGCTGGGCCCTACGGGACTGGTAAGATCACGAGTCCTAGGCGAGGGGCTCGGATGGAATAGGGCTGCAAGAATCCAGGAGACGAGTGTGAGAGCAACCTAAGTTCTCTGGTGCCCAAGAAGCCATGCAGAAAAACCTGGGAGAAAGCAACCGGAGTCGGGCCAATGAAGAGTCTGGGGGGACAGGAGGACGAGGCCTGGGGAGAGCCCCACCAAGCCCGGCCATCCCTCCAAAGAGAGCCAAAGTCACAGCGGAACAAGAAGGGCCTGCTGAGGCCCCAGTGTTCTTGCAGGAACTGAAGGATGTAGCGGTGAGCATTGGCCACGATGCCCTGCTGAAGGTGGTTGTCATCGGGAACCCTCGGCCACACCTGAGCTGGTACAAGGAGAATGTACTGATTGACCCCACCAAGGAGAAAGACAAGGAAGAGGAGGATGAGGATGAATATGGCTGCCTTCGGATCTGCAACAGTAAAGTGGATGATGCTGGGATCTACAGGTGTGTGGCTAAGAACCGCCATGGTGAGGCAGCCAGCAGTGCCACAGTGACAGTCACAGACATGGAAGGTATGGGTAAATTGTGTGTGTGTGTGTTGGGGGGATTGGTCAGGCGCCATGACAGAGCAGATATTCTGTGGGCATGTGCATTTCTTGTATAGCAAACTCTATGCCAGAAACTACCAATGGAGTCCTTGGATAGGAACAATAACCACTGTTCTTTCCTAAGTCTTCAGATTACAATTATGTCTAAGTGTCTGTCCGCACTGTATAGTTATAGCAGTTTGATCCCACTGTAACTGCCATGGCTCCGTTCTATAGAATACTGGGTTGTTTGACGAGAAACTTCAATTTCTGCATCCCTCTGAACTGTAGCACCAGAGCTTTCCAAGCTCCTCCCCAAATTAGAAACTGAGGATTCCATAGGAGGGAACCATGGCGGTTAAAGTGGTATCACAGTGCTTTGATAGTATAGTGTAGAGATGCACCCTAGGACTTGGCAGAATCAAATAAAATCCAAGATTCTGCTGCGGATGAGATCCCCTTGTCCTACCAGTGTGTAGCCCTTAGAATGGTAAAATAATGACAAAATGCCTCTGAATGTGTCGAGTTCATTTCTCGCAACAGTCAGCAAACATATGCAGCATTAGTTGAAGATTTCTAGTTACAAATTATTGGTTCTGAAGCTAGCTTGAACCCTTGGATTTTTGTCCTGAAACCAATTGCTGTCACTGAGCACATCTTTGTCGCGAGTAAAAACATGATGGGGCGTAACAGGGGTTTCTGTGGGTTGTAATGGAGGCTGGTTTACATGTATAGGTAAAGAAAGTTTCTTTCTGGACTATAAATCCCAGAATTCCATTCAAAGTGACAGATTCTGGTATCTGCAGACCAATGTAACTTTCTCCATCTCTACACTGGTCCCCCACAAATGTGGGATTTTTTGTATTGTCGAAGGCTTTCATGGCTGGAATCACTGGGTTGCTGTGGGCTTTTCGGGCTATATGACCATGTTCTGGGATTTTTTTGTTTGTCCAGAACTTGGAATGGGGATGAGGTCATCCATGGTGGGATGGGCAACTAGAAGCCGAATATTTATTATTCCAGAATTATGGCCTGTTTTTGGAATTGGTGTACAGTTTTCAATGGATAGGGTGTGAATTAACCACAAAGAATAGTATCTATGTACATGTCCAAAATTACACCCTAATATCATTGAATTGCCACAGCCTTCCCTCATAAGCCTTGGATTTGGCCAAAAGGATTCAAACCCTGGTAGTGGGAATCTTCCATTTTGCAATTAGGCACTCCCTACCCGTCATCAGAGTCCTTTGAAATCTGACAAGAGGATTACATGTGTGGCACAGATAGCACCAAAGAGCATGTTTTCCTGAAACAGACACCTGGCAGACATTAGGGGCCCTGGGACCGAGGCACATCCTATCCACCCCTCACATGAGCACAGCAATCCTTACCATCTGAAAGATGAGCCCTTTCAGGAAATTAAACTGCCTCGCCCCCAGCCACATAGGTCAGCTCTCTCACTGAATCATTTCCCCCTCCCTCTTGTTCCTTGCTTAGACTTAAAGGCGATCTGTAGTTAGTGGCTGGGCCAAGTGATGAAAACTGCTCAACCAACCAAGAGATCCTTGGTTCCTTTCAGAACTGCTTTTATTACAGGCATGGGGATGTGGCAGTGATTTGAGGCTCTATCACACAAAATTGTTATAGTGCCACCATCCCACTTTAACTTCCATGGCAACATCCTGTGGAACTAGAGTTTGTAGTTTAACAAGGACCAAAAGTTCTCTGGCTGAGAATCTTGCCTGCCCTTCAATAAACTGCAGTTACCAGAATTCCATAGGATATTGCCACAGGAGTTAAGGAGGGATTGTATATAAGTGCATTATGATTGTAGCAGTGCAATAATGACAGTGAATTAATGTGGTTGACAAATGGACAGGTCTGGGACTATGATTTGAATTTGCATGATTTTAACTGTTGTTTTAATACTTGACCTTTTTTAATTGTTTGGATTTTAATTATATTTATTTTTGGATTGATATCGAATTGCTGCCTGTTGTGGGGCTGCCCTGAATCCCCTTTGGGGTGAGAAGGGCAGGGTACAAATGTGGGAAATAAATAATTAAATTGTGATAGGGTAATGTGGGGCCATAGGTCAGGAATGTCTAGCAGCAGCAAAGATGTAAATATCCCATTTTCTGCATTATTCCTCTGTAATATCTGCCCAAAATTCAGTTTATTGCATCCAAACGCAGACAAGACTTTGGTTCTGATACTTTTTAAATTATTATTATGTGTGTACTGTACTGATGAGCATGGCCTCATGTAAGCCGCACCGAGTCCCCCTGGGGGAGATGGAGCGGGGTACAAATAAAGTTATTATTATTATTATTATTATTATTATTATTATTATTATTATTATTAAAGGAAGATACTGCTAGGTGTTGTTTTCTGTCTCACATGACTATAAGGCAAAATAAACCATTTTGGGGAAACATCTGTTAAAGATGGAAGAAACTTTCAGATTCATCTCTCTCTATTTTGGCATATTGGGGAGAGAGACCACTGGCAATTTTGTGGCCTCATTGTACCCCAGTTCCCTCCAAGGCGGGACCCTCTGCATGTATATTGCAAATGCAATTTAGCATCGACCTCGGGATTATGTTTCTCTAAGTATGATCCAATCTCAGAGATAAATAGTGGCGGATGTTTTATCATCCTTCAGAATGGCATCTACTTTGTCAGGGAGGTGAAGGTCATATCCTGTATCGATATAAATAGGTCTGGGCTGATTTCTCCCACCTTCTTGCTGGCATCATAGTAGATTTGTGAAAGTTGGTTGCAACTGCAGTTTCATGGAAGTTGCTTATGCATCTACTCGCTGACCTATAGAGAGAGTTTCCAGGGCCATTTGTGATGTAGCCCATCCTTGGAGGATTTCAGAGCCTTACAGCTAATGAATCTAGGTTCAGATCTTCAAGCTTTTCCTAATTAGGAATAGTAAAAGATGGGAATGTGGTTTCTTCTGGTCTTTTTGCATGACTCCAAGGAGATTCAAGGGGCCCTAGCAGGGCTCACCGATGCTTAAAGTGCCTCTCCAGCACCCTCGGACTTTTGGGTATGGCTGCGTCATGAGAGTCTATGGAACCCCTGGTGGTGCAATGGGTTAAATACTTGTGCTGGCAGGTTGGAGGTTCGGATCTGGGGAGAACATGGACGAGCTTCCTCTGTCAGCTCCAGCTCCCCATGCAGGGACATGAGAGAAGCCTCCCACAAGGCTGGTAAAACATCTAAAACATCTGGGCATCCCCTGGACAACATCCTTGCAGATGGCCAGTTCTCTCACACCAGAAGTAACTTGCAGTTTCTCAAGTCGCTTCTGATAAGCAAATAATAATAATAATAATAATAATAATAATAATAATAATGCCAAAACAAAAAGGAGAGTCTATGAGGTAACCAGCCAGTTTGATTTTACCATCATGTGCTGGAGCATGTAATTGACTCCACAGCATAGTGGAAGTTGGGCATTTAATACTCTAGTCCGCTCTCAGATTCAGCCACTCTAAAAGGAGCGAGGGAATGACTAGTAATGGCCACCTTGTTAGAAGTAGGTCCTCAAATCTGGAGCTAGTCTTGGAGAGCCAGCTGGCAGCTATTTTGTAATTTGGTCTGAAGGATTGTTTTCCCTTACTTCTTGATAAACATGGATCTCAGGCTGGATCTACACTGTTCTATAATTCGGTTTCAGAATGTGGATTAACTGCATTGAACTGGATTATATCAGTCTATACTGCCCTATAATGCAGTGTAGATCCAGCCTCATTCATACCTCTTGTGATTAAAGAATGAGTGTGGCAATGGAATGTGTCCTCCTCAGCCATGATACACCTAATATAAGGTATACCAGTAATCTGCATAAATTTACAATCTCATCTCTCAAAGTTGGAGGGGGACTGTATAATACTGTATAATACTATCAAAGGCTTTCATGGCTGTAATCAATTGGTTGTTGTAGGTTTTTCAGGCTTGTGAGGTCTGAGGTCAGCAACCTCTGAGGATGCTTGCCATAGATGCAGGCGAAACGTCAGGAGAGAATGCTTCTAGAACATGGCCATACAGCCCGAAAAACCTACAACAACCCATTGTATAGTACGTTTTTGGTTGGAATAATCATCCCATCTCTTTCATTATGGGAAGATAGAACCACGCTACAGATTTAAAAAGAGAGAAACTGTTGAACAACCATGGAGCACATAAAATACATTAAATGTACTTCTCGGCCATTATTTCTTTTGTAATCACATTGAATTCTAAAATGGCACACAGCTAAGAAACAAATGCAGATTTTTGGGGCAAGCGCTTATGAAGCAGAGRTGGCAAACTTCTGCCTTGTAGATGGTAGTGAGGAATCAGCAGTCTTTGGCAGAAAAGGTTAAAGACCTTGTAAAGCCCCCCCCCCCCCCCCAATGATTCTGTTGCATTGAGCCCTAGCAGTTAAATTGGTGTCAACTGCAATGTAGATGCACCTTCTGGCTAAAAGGCAAAGGTTTCCTTTGAAATGGATTAAAGCCCAAAGAAACACAGTGCAAATAATTACCAATATGTATCAGGATCAGAGTACTTATGAGGTGAGTATAATTTTTTAGTAGACAAACCCTAATGGAAACTTGTAAGGTAAAGGTTTTCCCCGACATTAAATCCAGTAATGTCCGACTCTGGGTGGTGATGCTCGTCTCCATTTCTAAGCCCAAGAGCCGGCGTTGTCTGTAGACACCTCCAAGGTCATGTGGCTGCATGACTGCATGGAGTGGCGTTACCTTCCCGCTGAAACGGTACCTATTGATCTACTCACATTTGCATGTTTTCAAACTGGTAGGTTGCAGAAGCTGGGGCTAACAGCGGGAGCTCACCCTGCTCCCCAGATTTGAACCTGCAATCTTTTGATCAGCAAGTTCAGCAGCTCAGCAGTTCAACCCACTGTGCCACCGGGAACTGGAGTTCAGTATTATCTGAGGACTAACATGTTTTGTAGCCCTGGCCTT